AGTATTTGACACTATTTCCATTCAGCAAAACAACAGTACAGGGTTCTCCTCTAGCATATGTGACCACCACTGCCATTGGTTCCTGATCAGGTTTTCAGATATGAATTTATACCTCAGGAGTGGGACTTTACAAATCACAAAACTATTGGTTATCTACTATATTATTTATATGACTGCTTCAACTATGAGTGTGCACTGACAATCTAGTCAATATTGTAGTTTGCAGGACTCATAAATGGATACAAATTGCTCATGATTTTTCTTCCCCAAGGTGCCTGTATAACACCTGTGACACAGTATAAGCTAGCCCAGATGAGAGAAGTTGCCAAGTCACTGCCTGCTTGGTTTCTCTGATCTGTGATCAAATATATGGTATCTCCAGCAATAGATCTTTACAACCAAGTTCTAGTAGAACAAAAGCAATGGCAATAGCCTATATTCTGTTTTTAGAATCACTGGAATTCTCCATCTATGACAACCAACTTGAGGGAAATGATCTAATATGTGACGTTGAATCTATCTATCTATCTATCTATCTATCTATCTATCTATCTATCTATCTATCTATTTATGGTTTTTCAAGATGAGATAGGGTTTCTCTGGAGCTTTGGAGACTTTCCTGAAACTAACTCTTGTAGCCAAGGCTAGCCTTGAACTCACAGTGATACACCTGCCTCTGCCTCCCAAGTTCTAGAATTAAACGCATGGACAACCACCACCCTGCAACGTTGGAATTTTTCTTTGGTAACTTAAGCCTGGTCTATTTGAAGGTTTTTACTTCAGAGTTTCAATCTGACCACACGACACTTAGTACAAATGACTCCATCACAGTTTGGAGTGTCATCCTGCAAATTTTACATAAAACTTCCTTTCCATGCATTCATCACACATTACAGATAGATATAAAGATTCCCAAGCAGATAACACATATATACATAGAGAAACTTTGCTTTCTTTAGGGACATGTACTGATGCTTTAACTTGTAACTCATACCACAAAACACTGCAGCTCATTATGTATGAGGCTTGTCTAATTAAGTTGATTTTATCAGCACATGACAAAGTTCTGGTGTTTTGGAACACTTTACATGATCTCAGCACAACACTGATGGACCATTTTACAGGGAAAGGCAGCAAGAAGGGTTAAGAGACTGAATAACATCACACAAAGGATTTTATGAGATTTAAAACTAGAATTTAAGAACTTTGCTTTGCCAACCCTCTGTGGTAGTACTTTGTACTCTAGCAAATAAAGCTCGCCTGAGGTCCAGAGTGTGGAACAAACCACTAGTTAGCCATAGAAGCCAGGCAGTGGAGGCACACACCTTTAATCCCAGTACTTGGGAGTCACAAGTCTTTAATCCCAAAACTAGTGAGGTGGAGCAGGAAGGGATATGGCTGGTGGAGAGTAATATAAAGCCGGAGACAGGAGCTCAGCACAGTCAGTCTGAGGGCTTGTAGAGACAGGATACCCTACTAGGCCAGGAGACAGGACCTCAGCACAGTCAGTCTGAGGGCTTGTAGAGACAGGGTACCCTACTAGGTCTGAGGATTTTGTAGCAGTAAGAACGAGTGGCTAGCGGCTCTGCTTCTCTGATTTTTCAGCTTTCAACCCCTGTAATATCTGACTCCAGATTTTTATTATTAAAAACCATTAGAAATCATGCAACAACCCCCTTCTCATAATATCTATATTAGGACATTCAAAATTTTGGCAGATTTTGTATGTGCTAACTACTTTGAACAAGCTACAAATAATCATTTGGAATTATGATTATGTTTTAAGGACTAGATATATTTAAAATATGAAATTTCTGAAGCTTGAGAATTATATATGTACAAATAAATATAAATATCGTGTGCATATGTGTGATATATATGCAGACAAATATTTAACATATATATGAAGAATACAAACCAATGCAACAATAATTTATACATTTCCAAGTTTTACATCTAAGAAAGCTAGCAGGGTTGACCTTTGTCATGGTAAGCTTTAATTGTCAACTTGACAGAAATTGCAATAACCTATGGAGGGATTATATGACCCAGGCTGGCTGTGGACATGTCTGTAGTGTATTGTCTTATTAAAGTAATTGATGTGGGAATCCCACCCACTGTGTGTTATACCATTCCCTGAGAAAGGGTTCATGAACTATAAAATATTAGAAAAATAAAGCTGAGAACAAAAAGCAAACAAGGAAGCTTGCATGCATCTCCTCTCTATCTGCTCTTTAGTATGGATGTGATGTGATTAGTTGTTAAAAATGATTCCCTTGTCCTCCTTGCACAATGGACTGTGAGCTGGTCTTGTTGCTGGTAGAAAGGTGTCTCCCCTGAGGTGCTCTTTGTTGGAATATTTATCACAGCAACAGAAGTGAAACCAGAACCCCCATATTTATAAAGAAGCCTGAGCCTCCATCTTTCTTTTATTGTTTATTAAAATTAAATATTGAAATTTAATTTAAACAATTGAAAATGCTACTGAGCGGAGGCTGCAGAAGCAGAGGAGGAGGTCTTCCTGCCTGCCCTGCTTTCTAGAGTCCCGCATTAATAAGATGTGACTCCAAAGATCTTAAAGTTGTTGTTCATCCCAAATCTCCAATCTTTTGTTTTGCTTTTTCTTGATTCCAAAAGGAAGCCATCTCCATTCCGTGGCCATGGGTGCCTGAGATGATGAAAATTGTCCATAACCGAATTCAGTCATGACACATAGTAAGTCAAGGAAGAACTACAGCTCACTTAAGCCTAGTGGATGTTATCTTGAAGAATTGGGAGTAAGGTAATGAATACACAATATGTCTCACTTTATGATCAGGTAGGTGTATATAGGCCAAATGGACGTTTCCAGGCCTCTTCTTAATGCAACCAATCACTTACATCTGCTTCTATAAGATTTCTTGGGACAATTCCTCCCACGAGTTTTTGTACTAACTGTGTAGAATGAATCTACATTATAAGCAAGAAGTATATACATAATCTTAATTGTAGAAAGGGGTAAAATTGAGAGAACTGGATACTTTAATTTTTTTTCTCAACTGAGTGTTCAAAGTTACATTAGGGATGGTCTAGTTTGACAAAGAAAAGATTAGACTTGGAGAAGCTTCTTCATGTAATGAGAAAATGGAACTTTTAACAGTACTTGTAATCAAATTAATACTGAAGACATGTTTTAATGTTGCATACACAATAATATTCATCATTATTATTATATCAATATAATTAAATAATACTAATAATTAATAAATTGCAGAAATAATGTATCAGTGTAATTAAGCATGAAAGTCCTGAAGTTAGTATGTGAGCTAGAATCCAGGTTTATCATTTATCAGATTTTTAAACTTATAAAGTTACTAAGACTCTACTCAACAAGATGGTAGATCAAATTTATGAATTAATGTATGTGTTATTCTCAAATGACTGCCTTACTATCAATCACTCATAGGTTTAAAAACATAGGATATCATAATTAACAACTTGCCAAGTATTTTTAGATTTTTATACATATATTTTCTTTATATTCTAAATATATAAAAATATTCTCTTTATATTCTAAACTTTATAGTATCGTTTAGAAATTTCATTTATTAAAAATTGCAAACCTGCTTTTACCTAGCCATCCAACTACTCTATAGTTAAAAAATGAAATCCATCTCAAAGTCCTCTGAAGGTCTCATAATGAAAGTGAGCACATAATTTATATTTAAAATTTCAAATAAAAAATTTACCTAAAATTATTTTGTCTTTCTAATTTTATATTGACATCCAGCCTGAAATACATATCATAAACATGATTTTTTTGAATGTTGTTAATTTTCATGATCAGAAATATCCTATAATGTAATATATCTGTAGTAGTAAATGTTTTAGAAGCAGCATTAATAGTGTTTCTATATATAAAAGAAAAACAATAGTTCATATGAGACTGACACAACTTTCAAGGTTATGTTCTAATAATAGATTAAAAATTAAACAACTTAAATCATTAATTTATAGAACAAGTCTGGGGATGACAATCAGGCTATGAAGAAACACACTTGACAAAGAAAAATTTGTGAACTGAAGCTTAGACGAAGAAAACCTTTTCTATCAACTTGGCTAAGGAGAGATTGTTTGACTCATAGATAAAAGGAGAGAAGTTTCAATAGCTAACATAATGTTATAATTCACTTATTGCAAAAATGGCCTAGAAAGGTCAAAATAAAAGTACAGAGAAATCATGACGAGCACCTTGCCTTGTTCATCGCCTGTCCTCTGACACTTGTGTTGGCAGCTTCAGCGGCTCTCAGCTAGGGGTGGATAAAGGTACACACAGTCATTCACTGCTGTTGACAGATTAGCCAATGTATTGGCGTTCCTATATCACAGGTATGTGTACATGGTCATTTGGAATTTCTCTAAAGTATTGTCAAAAACTATTTTTAAAAGAAAACCAATCCTCATCTAGTCCTTCACAGACTACTTTTCTTCTTTTTCTTTTACTCCCCACAGCATAACATACACATTCTTAAATTTTAAATCGGTATCAGATTCTTTCCAGTGGACGATAATAGAATTTTCAATCATTTAAATCTGTGTTTTGGTACTTAAATACCTTCCTCATTTGCACCTATACATTAGTAATGTTACAAAATGGAAATTTATATAGTAATGAAAATAACAATGTTAGTACATAAATAGAAAGAATGAATGTTGTTCTCTGCGTGATTAAGGAGAACAAAGAGTTCAGGGCATCTATTTAGAACAAAAATGTTTCATGAAAATTTAATTACAGATATCAACTATTTCTGAATTTGAGTAGTAAGTTATCTTACTACTCAAAACAGAGTAATTCTGTAAGGATAGCTGATTCTTTTATGCCATGAAATAACTTTTTTTACTCTACATTTAAGATACAGTAATTTCTCCAGTACAGAAGGTACTCCCTGTAGGTCTTAACTAATCAGAGTTTCAAATTTAGAAATAATTTTTTATCCTTTTATAGAAAACATCCGTGAAGAAGAAGCTGAGACTCTGACTTTTGTTATGTCTATCTACAATAAGTCTGATGCCCATCCCTCAACCTTCATTCTCATTGGCATTCCTGGGTTGGAGGCAGCACACATGTGGATTTCCATCCCCTTTTGCGTGGTCTACATTTTGGCACTAGTGGGAAACTGTTCTCTTCTGTTCATCATTAAGACAGACTCCAGCCTCCATGAGCCAATGTACCTCTTCCTCTGCATGTTGGCAGTGGCTGACCTCGTGGTGTGCACTACAGCTGTTCCCAAACTTCTCAGTCTCTTCTGGTTTCATGATGGAGAGATTCCCTTTGAAGCTTGCCTCACTCAGGTCTTCCTAATCCACTCTTGCTCAACCATGGAGTCTGGCTTTTTCCTGGCCATGGCATTTGACCGTTATGTGGCCATTTGTAACCCATTAAGACACTCAGCTATTTTGACACACACTGTAACTGGAAGGATAGGTCTAGCTGTTGTACTTCGGGGAATAGTTCTTCTCAGTCCTCATCCTTTTTTACTAAGTTGGCTTCCCTATTGCAAGACCAACATAATTTCCCACACTTACTGTGAGTTCATGGCCCTCATCAAGATTGCCTGTGCTGAGACAAGCATCCGTCGAGCCTACAGCCTCATTGTTGCTTTCCTCACTGGGGGTGTGGACTTTATATTGATCATTTGTTCTTATGTCCTCATTCTCAATACTGTCTTCCACCTTCCTTCCAGGGATGCCAGACTCAAGACTCTGGGCACCTGTGGCTCGCATGTCTGTGTCATCTTAGTGTCATATACCCCTGCCTTCTTCTCCTTCCTCACCCACAGGTTTGGGCATAAAGTGACTCCCCAAGTGCACATATTCGTGGCCAACATCTATCTTCTTGTACCACCCATGGTGAACCCCATTATTTATGGTGTAAGGACCAAGAACATAAGAAACAGATTTCTCAAAGTGCTCAGGTTTTCAAAGTTTACAAACCTGAACTGGTTTTGTTGAGGAGTGAAATTTAAAAATATTCTTTTACCTAATTTTGGACATGAGTTTATTTTCTTCATTTTTAAATATTTTTATAAAATTACTAAGGGTTCTCAGTGGAAAATAAGTAACAATGACTTAATTGTTTGCTAAAAGTAGGGACAATGTGTTTTTCCTGTGGATTTCAAACCTGTTTCCCAAACAAGAAAGAATTACTCTATGATGATACCCTAATCATTATTCTATAAATAATTATTTGAATTTAAATACTATAATTTGCAATACACAGTATTTGAATGTTCCATTTAACATAATACCTGTATCTTTACTATTAAAATATGATTCTGGATTTATGTGGAAATTGGGGATTATAGAAAAACAGAAAGCTATGAGAACATTGTACTTTGAATATGCTTTTCATTAGCCATGTTGACAACATTACATAGTTCTTCACAGCCTGTTGTAATTATTTCTCATTACTATAGTATTATTCTGTCACTTCTTTTTTGAGAGGATATTATTTGTCATCCATTCTTAAAGTAGAATGACAAAACATTTCCTATCAGTCATTTGTCATGGAAAGTTTCCTAATTTTTAAAAGATAATAAAATGTAGTTTTAATTGAAATTTAGACAACATTGGTAGCATTTAGATATGTTTAGTAAAATATATTATATTTTGTGAGGTTTTATTAATAACTAACTTTCTAAAAAATCATTCATAATAATATTAAAAATATTCACAACAGCCAAATATTTAGTCATATTGACAATTAACCTTCATGATACTTAAGATATATGATTTAACGTGATAGCAGTCTCTTTAGTTAGGGAATATAGATGCAATAATAGCCTTTACTTTGAAACAGATGTGATTCCAAGGCAAAAACTTTATCAAAATATTTTTATTCAAGCAAACAAACAAAAAAGACAACACCTAATGTAGAGAAAAGGGAGGCCAAGTACAGGAGATCAAGAGTAAGAGAAGGTCTCACAGATTCATCGTTAGTAACACATTAAATTTTTCTTTGGTTTATCACAATCTTCTTGAGCAAATTGCCCTATCTCTCAAGAACATACTTCAGCTTACTTACTGAGAGTATTTTAATGCTAACTATTCTGTTATTTGTTCTCTTAAAAGTATTATTATTTATTCCAAATAATACTTTTATAGTGAAACAATTGTATTATAACAGCTATCACATCCCTTTGCTTTTGAAGCCATCACCATACACCTCAGGACTCTATTATTGCTTTGAAACCATTTGTTGCTGGCCAAGTTGTCATTAATCTGTCAGTAATTATCTTTGCTGTCTAACTGCTGTAAAAACTTGTGTTTGACTTTGGTATTCAGTTGTTTCTCAGGGGTGACTCTCACCAGCAATTTGTCAAATGGTGGAGGATAGATATGGATAACTCACATATAGCATGAGTGTGCAAATGTTTTTTTTAAAGAAGACACAACTACTTTGGAGTCATGTTCTGGTGCCTATGTTTTAAATCCATAACCTGCTGCATCTTACAAGTCAAAACATGTACTATATATAAATGGGAGTAGTCTGTGGTGCAAGGACAAAGGGAAAGACCTAGACTTGAAAGTGGAATAAACACAATGAGAAAGATTTACCTGACAATCAGCTCATATCCTATACAGAAGGTAAACCCAGAGACAAGTGAAGCCTGTAATTCATTCACCGCCAACAAGAGGATGCTGATGTCATGAGTAATGATTCACTTCTTAAAGAAATTCAATGGTGATAGAGTAGCTTGATGGCAAGCATCTAATTCAAATGTTACCCTGGTGAATTTACCAAATGATCAACCAATTCAACATGTATTTGTCAACATATAGAAATGGAATTCACCTTTTAGTGTCATTCAAAATACAACTAGAATACTTAGACATAGAGCTGCTTCGCAACTAGAACAGAAGCATTAAAGGATGATTTCAATGTCACTGTAAATTCAGAAGAGCCACCGTTGTGGTTTGAATAGCTTTCCAATAAATTTTATGTTCAAGATGCCACATATGCTAATAGAAATTTCCTTTGTTTTTAATACATTTTAATACATTTTTAATAATAAAAAATAGGTCAGTAGCTTATTCTCCTTAAAGTCCATTCTTTAGAACTGCATCCATGATACTTATGAGGAGTTCAATGAAGCCAACCAGTCAATCTCACTCAAACCTTAAACTTTAAAATTTGAGAAAATTTCTATGTGCTTCATCATATGAGTTTATCTAACTTTGATATTCCATTTAATAGACATTGATCAAGTTTTCCAGCACATACCTGACAAATTCTATTTTAAGATTGACTGCATGAGGAAAACTAGGGAAAGCTTCTTCTTCATGAACCTTAAGATTGGGGTTCAGTTTTCACCAGTGGCTACCACAATGAACAGAGTCAGTGATCTTGATTAATAAAATATGAATAAGACAAAAATATATCTAAATTGATTTAAATGTGGAAAGCGTTCCTAAACATTTTTAGACTTAAATTGGTGAAAAATACTTTGAGTTGTGAGAATTTACTTTATGGATGGTACATATTTTAGCTAAATAAATGTAATTATGGTTCTTTATTGGTGATGCTTCTGAATTATACAAATATAATATCATTTTCAGGTAAGCACTAAGGTAACAAAGAAGTTGTTCCTAAATCAATTTTGGGTGTGAATGAGTAGACACCTTCCTTCTAAAAGCATTTACAAACAATAGATGTTGTATTTATTCCCTTTATTTTGTATTGTTTTAGCATTTTAGTTTTATTTTCTCCTGTTTTCTGAAAAAAAAAAGGTATTGATTTGTAGCACAACGCAGAATGGAAATAATTATACAACCAAGGTTAACCATGATATCAAGAATCTGTCGTTATCAGTCTGCACAGCACTGAATTTGCAGGCATATGTGATCAAGTCTTGTTCCACAGTTAATTTCCATTCTTTATTTTTTATCTCTTCCTTCTTGATAGTTAGGCCAAAGAGGTACCCTGCTTGAGATTTTATATATAAACCCACATGTATATTTTGTTTCTGTCTTTTTAAAGTGGAAGACCCAAATGCTTTTTATTGCTGATTTAATAAGAAGCCTTTCTATTTCCTTTGAAATTTCCAATTATTGAAAATGATTTTTTTCATACAATATACTCTGATTACAGTTTCCTTTCCCAACTCCTCCAGCATCCTCCCGACTGTCCTCCTTTCTAAATCCTCATCCTTGCCGTTTTTCATTAGGAAAAAAAATCAAATAGTCATCTAAATAATGATAACAATAGATAAAACAAAAGCAAAAACTTTGGGACAAAACAAAACAAACAAACAGAAGAAAAAAGAAAAAGCAAGCAAAGGAATACATACAGACACAGAGACACACAGGTCAGCACACGCATGAAAACACAAAACTGGAAGCCATAAAGCATACACCAAAGACCTCTAAGGTAAAATAATAGTAATAATAATAATTAACTTAAAAGTAAAAAAACTAAAAACTAAAAATAGATAAATAAATTTCCTGACTAAACATTCAAAGACAAAGAACCTCCAAAACTGTCGTCAGTTCTTTTTATGTCGACCATCTATGGCTGGGGAGGGGCTGCTCTTAGTTTATATTCCTAGTGAGTCTCCATTGGAGAAAACTAATTTTTCATTTTTTGAGTGGTTAGCTATTGGATTTAGCTTCTTGTTAGGAATGGGGGTTTGTGTCCACTCTGTCAGTACTGGAGCCCCATCTGGCTCAGGCCCTGTGCATGCTGCTACCGTCTCTGTGAGTTTTTATGTAAGTTGGTTCTGCTATGTTTCGAAGGCCTTGTTTCCTTGAAGTACTCCATCCCTCTGGCCCTTACAGTCTTCATTCGTCCTCTTCTTCAAAGTTCATAAGACCTGAAGTAAGGGATTTGATGGAGACTTCCCATTTATGACTGAGTGCTGTAAAGTCTCTCAGCTTTTCTAGCATTGTCTTTCTGTGGGTCCCTATTTTTGTTTCCATCTACTGCAGAAGGAAGTTCTGATGATGGCTGAGAAAGGCACTAATCTATGAGTATAGTAGAATGTCATTAGGGATCATTATATTTCTGCATTCCTTTAGCAGAACAGTAGTATTTGTTTTTCCCTTATGGCCCTAGTCAATCTAGTCTCAGTTTCTCAGCCACCCAAACAGTGTCAAGGATTAGTTCAGTCTCATGGGGTGAGCCTTAAGTCCAGTCAGATAGTGGCTGGTTACTCCCACAGATGTTAGGCCATGATTGCACTAGCACACCTTGCAAACATCATCATTGTAGATACAAGTGTTAGTAGCTGGGTTGCTGTTTCCCCTTCTCCTTTGATAGTATGCAGATTTTCTTCCAGGACCATGAAAACTAATCCATGGGATAAAGGCTCTGAGTAGTCACCAGCTCCACTCTCTTTGTGTTCAATCAGTTTGTGGAGAGCAAACAATTCAAACGATTTAAAGTTCCAATATTGTTCTACTTCTGTGTGAAATGTAGTGTTTTTTGAAGCTATTTGTCCAATAGTAAAATTTGCAATATATTGGAATATATTCAAGTATCACAAATACTAGATTGCATAATGAGAATGGACCCTGAAAGATGAATAATTAGAGAGCTTCCACATCAGTGAAGGTTGGCAATTCAGAGAATCACTATTAAAGGTATCAAACAATGGAGGATTTTCACAAGGATACTATGTAAGACTATATAAAATAAAATGAACACCTGTTGCTCAAGTGTACACACCTTATGCCAGTATATTCTTATAGTCAAGCCTCCATTCTATCTCTATGATCAAAGATTCTCATTTCTTTTCCTGTTAGATCACTAGTTTCTTTTTTCTTTGTACTAGTATACCCAAGAGAAAGACCCAGATTCTAACACCAGCAAAGTTTAAAAATCTGCTATTGCATGTATCTAAATTCTATTTGCTCAGGGGAGAGATGTTTGGTACTTCAATCAAAAACAACACCCAAAACGAAGTTTTTAGAAGTGCCCGGTGATAATGCAAATTAAAAAAGGCCCAAACAGT